GCTATGATAGAGTTATGGGTTTTTGACTCATTTCCCCTGCCCATAAAAAAGATGGCAACAAAACCCATGGGTTAGGATAGAGTATGGGTTATTGGGTATATGGGTCATTTCAGAGACAACTGTACAGCGGTAGGTTCACATTCAAAAAAATCAATCTTGACCCACAATTAACCCAAAAAGTACTGATTTTGTTGATAGGTCAATATTTGTTTTGATCCTCAATCTATTACAATCAGGACAGGTTCACCTGGAGCTTTCCAGGGTCCTGAAAGACCTCATAGGAAGCAAAGCTGAGGAAATCTATTCAAAATGATCTGTTCAGTGGATTTCTCAAAGTTTCACTTTTGAAAAAGATTGGGGTAGATTGGGGTAGATTGGGGTTTTGTATTTCTGCTGACAATTCTCATGTCTGGCCTGTGAATTTTGACTTAATACTTAACAACCCCTATGAATATGCTTGTAGGCAGCCTGACTTCTAAAACACAAGTCTAGCAACAGGTCAGGCCTGCAGAGCACGTGCTTCCGGTCCACCCACATTTGTGTGACTATACCAACCTTGAACCACACATTGCAACGTGTGACTCTTGTTTGAGCCCCTAGACACCTGGCCACTTTTGGTCAACTTATCTTTACTCCAATAAGTTCTCCTACTGGGCCATGTGTATATTGAAGCATGTTTATAGTGTGTTCTGCATTCCTCCCTGAGATTTCTCACAAGATGTACAAAAGCCTGATGCTCCCTCTGGTGCTTTGCTGTGACAAACTTTGAAACCACAATCTTGTTGATGGAGACAGGCAGCCTCAATACAGCCAAAGAAGTGGAGAACAGACATTCAGGCCAAGTGAATTTTGTGTTTGCATTGCAAATGCCCCAGAGCAGAATGGTTAAGCTTTTGCACTTCTAACACAAATGGTATTTTCCCCACTTGAAAATCACTTCATATTTATAGTGTTGACCTGTGCCTTTCATGTCAACTTTGCACTGATTGAACCCATTTTCATTCTGCACTTGTGCCATGTCACAATCGACCAACTAGATTATTCAATTAGTAAAGAAAACTTATGATAGCAGAAGATAAGTTACATAAGCACAAAGCAACACAAGAAATTATAACCTAAAAGGAAGAGTCAATCCCAAGAAATGAAAATATGAGCTAAAATCTGAAATGTGGTCCACAATGTGATGGATGATCTAGTAAAGTTTTGGGAGTGATATATCCACTATGTCTTGTATCCTAACTTCAATTTGGCCGAATTTGTCATTTGCTTTCACCCATATACTATAAAAAACTTCATTTGTCTACTTTAAGCGATCTAAATCAGGTAAGTGTACATATTTTCTTCAACATATATACACATGAATTCACGATCCTACGGTTTTTGGCTTGTTACCATTCAACTTTTTCTTATTCACATTCTCGTTCTGATCCTTCTTGTTTCTGGCGTAAATTTTTCCTTCCTCACTAGTCCTGATCAACTCCTCGATCATCTGTCTTCCTTCTTCAACACGTTTTAACCAAGGTCTCATCCTTTTCTCTTCAACCCATGCCAAGAATTCAGCTTCTTCTTGTTCAGCTCGATATGCAAAATATTCTTCTAATCCCATCGCAGCTTCTTGTTCTGTCAAGGGCGGGAAGGGTCTTGAGGGATTATAAGGGTTTGCCAACCAACCCGGTGGTATTGGCGTGGGTTGCGATGAGCCAAAGTATTCGTCCATAAGTGCTGTGGCTTCAGCTTCATCAACTACTCCTGGAAGTGGGGCTGTATCGCGCGTGGGTGAAAGAGGAGTAGATGATTTGATGTTTGTAGGTTTTTGCTGGGTTTTTGCGGAAGGAGCTGGTGTACGCGTCGTTGGCTTGGGAGCAACAGGCAAGATCCCAGTATACAGTTGTGGGGCCTTAGGATCGTAGCCGTTGTTTGAGTGATGCGATTGGGCTTGCAGCGAGGATGATGGGACGGAGGTATGATGAGAATCGTGATTTGATCGATCGTGTGCTGCGCGGCAGTTTGAGAAAGGCTGTTTGTCCTGCTGCTCTGGATTAGGCGAAATTGAATCTTGCGTTTCAGCAGGGACGGCTGTACGAGTTTTCAGAGGCTTGACCGGTGGAGAGACTGGCTTGGATGGCAAGTCTGGTAGATCGTCAACTGGAGCAGAATTTGTAGCGTACTTTTAGTGAGATGTCCAGCCTCGTCGGATTGATATGGTCATTCTTAGCAGAAGATAAGTCATTGCTACAAGCTTACCGGGTTTAGCCTTGGTTTTGCGACTTTTTGGTTTAGTGTGTGAAGACTCTATATTTTGATGCTCATCGACGTCAGGGAGTACATTGACCACATTTGTAGTAAGTTTCACAACACTGGTTTGGTGCTCGTTGATACCCGATGAGTTGGAAGTTGCCCTTGTGCGCGTTCGCGATACAGGCGCGCCTGTATGATTCAAGGGTCCGCGACTGTTAGGAGCGGTAGATGGTGGTCTGGATGTCGATCGGGAAAGCTTATTGTTTTGTGACAAAGATACTGGGGGCTTCAAGGAGATTTCTATCGGATCAGGTGACGATAGAATATGACTAGCCGACACAGATGTTTTGTGGGCAGCGCGGGGATGTTTTTGACGGGATGGAGCCGGGGCAGGAAGGCTGGATTCACGAGCACCAGCAGGCGATTGATCTCGACTTGGGCTAGTAACGGTGGAGGAAGCTATACCTTTTCGAGTAGGGCGAGATGATTTGCTATGTTCCAATAAATGTCAGACTTGCCAAACTTTGAACTTTCGAGTGACAAAGAAGATACAAGCCTCATCAGATGCTTACCCGGAGGCGCTGGTAACTGAAGTACCTTTCTTCGAGACACCGCGCGAGCTCCGGAGATCAAGTGGAGCATTCGTTGATTCTTCAAGAATCGCATCATCCTGAACGGTACTAGAGGGTTTTCTTGTGGCGGGGGTCTTTTTAGCGGTGGTGGTGGACGCTTTTCTACTTGATTCAGGCTTGGTTTTGGCCTCTGGTGGTGGTGTGGCAGTGAAGAAGATACATGGTCCCTTTTTGAGATGAATAGAGCTAAGCAAAAAAAAGCAAAATCGAGTCAGGGAGCGATGATGATAGATTACCATTGTCTGCTATTCACTAACACAGGATCATCGCCTGCCTCCCACTCTGACACAGTTCTGCGACAATAGCAACATGACGTGGTGTCATCTATCTCCACTTTGCGGCCTTTCTTGATCGAATTGGGCGCAAAATGAAAGCCAGCGCGGGCCAACTGTTGAAAGCACGTAAGTTAGCCCATTTCAAGGTATTTTCAGTGGAATGAACTAGCTATGGATCAATATACATCAATTCTCGTAGGTAGGCCTTCAAGACCTTCGTGCCTCCATTGACCAGACTTTCCACAAAAGGTGGCCAACCGAGCTTCGATCATCGTCTGGCCTCTAGGGAACCATTCGGCAGTTGGACCCCAAGGTTGATGAAGAAGATCAGGCCACGCAGGTACCTGTGTGTCACGCTGACGATCTAGAATTGCAATCCGGGCAAATGGGCAATTTGGAGCTGGGGATGATGAAAAAATGGTTGAACTTTTGGGCTGTCGTATAGGTCCTAGTAGGCAGAAGTAGATGCTAACCCCATTCGAGATGAACCAACCATGGGTCATCACTTGCGACCCAATCCTTGGTTGCCTCGCCACACATCCAGCATGTCGTCCTATCTGGCTCAGATTCGACAGGATCGTGAAAGTATCCAGCTGAAGCGAGGATGGCAGGAGTAATACTGAATGAATCAGGATGAGGCCAGCGAAGGGCTTTCGGGGTGGTCTTCTTGTATTTGAATGACATTGCTCGAGCGGAATGTGAGCAGAGCTCCGGACGATTGGCAGGCCGGTCTACGAGGTCCATCTATATTTTCAAGTTCGATCGAATGGAAGACGAAGACTGAGGATTGAAGTGTTGAGAGACGGGAACGGCAGGTAGATTAAAGGAATTAAGAGTGCAGCTGAGGAATTTCCCACCTGCCTTGGAGTGGGAGTCTCAATGAATTGTACCGCATTAAGCTTCACACCCCGCGTCTGTCCTCATGCCCGGTACCGTCTGAACAATTACAGTGTAAATGCTACATATACCATACAATGGTAATACTTATCCATGCAAGCCCTTTGCCATCATGTTCATCAGTGCTCCAGACAACTGTTTTCTAAGTAGGGTTTATTGAACCGTTCATAATAAGCTCACTGGTCCTAGACCAATGCTAGACATTCTCTCAAGTGTTCATTCCAAAGTTTTTTTGAAAGTGTCACTCATGTATGGATTGTGATTGCCTAGATCAGCAAACTTGTCACCCTTTTGGCTGACATTGTAATCATCACATAGAACACAGCTTGAGATTAGCACAATCTTGAAAAGCATTTGTTTGGTTTTTTCACACTTGGAGATATGTGGGTATAGAAATAACTTCAGTCATAACATGATCATTTGTTTGAGATATTCAGATCACTGAACTAGAGCTGATGAGGCAAAGCAACCCTTTACTACATGTGTCTGAACTGTTCCCAAAAACACAAACATGAGAGTTTTTTAATCTTGATTTTGCAAAAAAGGGTGAAGAAGCAGCCCCCTCTCCCATTTGGGGACTCATGCAGCTTACTCACTTTGTCCTGATTACCTGGGCTACAATATCTTCACCAATGAAGTTAGCTATTTTGACTCACTTTGTCACTTTCAGGCAATTCATTTCTTGAATGCTTTGTTTTTCTAATTTGTTTCCTGCATTGCAAATCTACTTCTGCTTTTGAGAAGTTATATCACATCTCTTGGACCCCTTCAAATTCAATCAACACAACTCCAATCCCCTAGGTTTTATTCCCAGGTATCCTAATTTACAAGAAGCATCCCACTCCAAAATCTATTTAACAACATGTAGATCTTGTATAAATTTGATGTACATATATAACATCTGCAAGAAATCAGTTAGATGGCTTTGAGATAGCACAAGTCCGGCCCCGAGCGGATCGGCCTGATGGTCTAGTAGTATGATTCACCCTTAGGGCTTGCAGTCTTCATGGCTCAGCAATGAATGGGTGAGGTCCCGGGTTCAATTCCCGGTCAAGCCCTTCCTTTTGCCCCGTTGAGGCCATACACTGATGGTCACAATGCCAGACAGCAGCTTTTTGTCAATGCTTGAGAGATGATGTTGGTAGCTGTCTCATATTGGGGTTTGGAAAAGGTTTTCAAGTGTGTTCTCCCAGTGTTTGAACACCTGATCCTTTGGGTGGTGCAGTGAAATCCTGGGTATCAATTGTTTTTGCTGACCTTTTGGAGTGTTTCCCTAAGAATGGAGGTGTATTGACCATATACCTACATGTTTGTTTAGTAATTGTGATCCAGACATAATTTCAAGGGTTCAAAATCTTGTATTGCCCGTTTTCACATTGTCAAATTGACACAGGGTTTCTTGTACCAAGAAGAAAAAGCTAGGTCATGCTGTGTGTTGGAATTCAGGTCAACTTGCTCTCCGTTTGTGACTTTTGAGGATCCAAGCCTTTGATGGAATCTCTGTGCAACAACCAAGAATGGAAGTCCTGATTGTTTGTTATCAATCTTTCTCTATGTTGAGTGTGATGCTTCATGCTGGCAGATCAACCTTTCTCTATTCCTTTATTGCAAAGTTATGGATCTTAAATTCAAAAATTTGCGGTATCTCCTTCATGTGCTCAAAAATTGTATGTTTGGTTTTTTCTGTTTCTTCAATTTGGGTAAAGGGTTTGTCGTAAGATTGTAACATCAAAGTTTATTAACTTCAACCAATTTGACTCGGAAGTGGTTCAAGATGATAAAAAATGTTGGGGTCTTTGCACAGAGCTCTTGAAGTCTAGGGCAGCCCACACAGGCACTGTGTTTGTTGAACAAGTGCTAACTTACCAAGTTCCACCGTCAGACACCTCTCCTCGCGAGCTCGGGTGTGTGAACGGTATGTAGTAAACTTCCACAAAACCATGCTCAGAGAGTGTTCAGAGAGGTTCAGAGAGCTCATGTATGCGGCCCATCAGGCCCCATCCCACTTGCTTTGCCGAGTTTGCGCAGATCGACGGGGTTGATTGAAGCTGTGATGCACATTGAGCCCGATACTGATCCTCAAATCCGAGCCCCGGCTACAAAGTAAACTTGACATCACTTTGTTTTGAGCTGAGCCTCGACTCAATTCTTCAATCAACCAAAAATGTGGTCTATTCTTCGAGCTTACAATTCAGCCTTGCTACATCGACCTCTCTCGACTCAGATCTTAACTTCTCGTTTGTCAAACCTTCAATCTAGACGCTTATTGGCTGGTGTCTCTGGAAAATTGACTTGATTCATTTGGACCCTGATTATGTTGTGTCTCTCACACTCAACGCTGGATATGATCGAACTTTGGCAACGTTGTCTAAACCTTCGGTATTGAAGTCGCTCTGTTCGGAGGTGGTGACATCATCGCTCAGCAAGTGAGTTGTATTTGCCCTCACAATGATGAGCTACGTTCTTGCAACTGCATATCATTGTGAAACTAAAGATGTTCGCGCTTTGTGTTGGTGTTGTTTATTTGCTTTCGCGCTTAAATTGGAGGGAAAGCTATTGGAGAAGAAGAAGGAAAATCACGAAGTGAGGCTTTTATTTTTGATAGAATCAGTGGAAACCGTTCCTTAACGCACATTGACACGTTTCCTCACAAAAGTGGGCCCGTACATTGAGATTGGCATCGTATGGTGGTAAGATTCACCTTCAAACCACAAAGCGCGATGAATGCGAACATTGCTGATACCAGAGACGCTACAGGTTTTGTCTTTGCTCCTCTTGCGACGAGATGGTTCAAGACACTGGAGTTTATCAATTTTAAGAATATCATGGCAAGTTGAGTATCTCCTGATCTAGATCTTCGAATGAACCCAAAGGATCTCGGCTCACAAAGTCAATTTTCAAACAGCAAGAGCTCTTAAGATCGGGCTGGATCAATTTGTTGCCGCCCCGACGATGCTCGCGGTGTTTTTCACATCGATGAATTACTTGTCAGCCCTACATTTAACCAGATATTCCTCCTTCCGGATCCAGCTCGGCTGACTACCTTTTAACTTTCACACTTGAATACATCGAAAGAGAAGGAAATGATCTTGAGCAGGCCGAGGAACGATTGCGAGAAAAATGGGGCCCAACTCTATATCAAGGTTGGATGAGTAAGTGACTTATCCCCTACGTTACATATCCCATACCTTGAAAATATGGAGGTGTGACTTATTATGTTTGTCACTTGAACATTGCGCGTTCCTTCAAAATCATTATCTGGGGTCCAACAAGTCTTTATCCCTTTGCAGACAATCAATTTCACGCTTGTGCCTCCGCATCTCAGGCTCTTGTTACTCAGTAAGTTCCATCATTGAACTAGAGATCATGTATATTGGGTAGCCATATGATACATACTCATATATTTCTGACCTTGTCTCACAGACGGGACATCATTATTTTGGAGTGAGTCCGTGCTTAATACTTGGTCTCGATTAGAATTTCATCACGCTGAAACGATTCATATTTCCAACAGATGGCTATCTTTCATATGCCAACGCCTCTCGCGTTCCAGTTTCGGGTAAGATAGCTGAACATGCCGAGAAGCTGCTTGGAGAAAGCAGGCATAAGCTTGTTTAAAGTGTGCCGCCATATCGCGGCTCGCCCTTAAGCTCGTGTGGATCAACTGTCAAAGGTTTCTCAAACTCATTTTATATTTTGCACCTTTACGAAGACATGTTGAATTATGTGTTGATTCTTTTTGAATTGTTCATGTTCTTCTCTTGACATTGCATATCAATTTTTTCCTCGCTTTGATTCAGCGTTTATCTGAATATATAGATCTCCCAATATTCAATATAGACATGTCATACTCTACTTTACAATCCAATAATAGACCTGTGCTCTCTGTAGCGCTGTATGTACTAAAGTTTCATTCTGACATGTCATAAATTCATCTTGATTATCACTGGTATCTTGTTGGCTTTGGAGCTATCAGTGACTACACATACCCACAATGTGTTTATATCATATCCCACTCCATGCAGATCACTAACATTAAGGATGGACAAGAATAGCCTTCTGGAACATATGAAGACTATTTTGGTTTTATAAAATCACATACTAAGTCTTCTTCCTATTTTCTGAACTGGATTTGACATCCCATCAGAATTCAGATGTACTGTGCAGCAGTCCCAGCGTGATTGCCTAAGATGCCAGGATCCAAGATCTCTTTGGATGGGAACAGAGACCCCAAGGGAGATCTCAGAGCTTCTGGGTGATTACAAACTCAATTGGTAGCTAAAGGCTGATCTTCAATGGTTGCTTGAATGACCTTACACTGGAAAATCATGCCTGCTTTTCACACTCTGTGAGTGGACTACAGATCATAATTGACTGACATAGAAGAAGGTAAAATTGAGGAGTTTCAAATGTCAATGAACTCTCTGACAATAAATTCAAATGTAGGTGAGCTTCAAATGTAGATGAGAAAATATATTCCCACTTGCTTGAACAAGATGCTTGTCACCTAGTCTTCTCATACACAGAAGACATGGTGATATATCTAATTCTGCAGAGCCCAGACATGACTCATGAGGATAGAATTTTCTTTTGAAATATTGAAATTTTATTGAAATGTGATGATACTAGACTGTGGTAATCTGACTCATAAAACAAGATGTTATCCGATACTGCCAAGAACTTATCAGCTACAGCTGATGATACAAATGTGCCAAAGTATACATTAACACCCGAGATTGTTCAGTGTTCTATTGGCTACACCTGATGAGGCTGGGATGATCAAATATCAAGAGGGTGTATTGGCTACACCCAATGAGACTGTGGGAGCACCTAGATTAAGGGTCTTCAGGATTTGAGAAGCGGGGTCCAGAAGTGTCAAGAAGTGACATCCAGAAGTTTCTTGAGCATGTCCAAGAAACAAGATTCTGAATTCAATCCCCTTATGTCCATATTGACAAGGCAATGAGGTTTTCAATGTCATTTGATTAAACCTTCTCTATTTGTTTGTGTAGATCATATACCATGTAATCCAATGGAAAATCTATCAACCTCCAACCATCACCACCAAAGCCCAAATCAGTTCTCAATCACAAACTCCTTCAATCATTGCACAACCCTTCTCTTACGCCTTTGTTTCACCAACCTTGAATTATCTTTGGAACCCTATGTCTTCATCAGTTCACCTGCCACCTGGGTCTCAAGTACTCAGTCAAGCAAGCATCATAAATCTTACTCCAACACAAAGAAAAAGATCTCCAACCCCGGTGAAGAAGCCACAACGCCAATGCAAGAAGAAAAAATGGAAACACCAAAACTTCTCCTGTCCATCCTCGAACTCAGTGGAGTGCAACTCAAAGCCAAGATGGCAAGAATGCTTTTGGTGTTTTAGCTGATTGGTTAACCCAATGGTGATGAATTCAAGCTTGATAGATGGCAGGGTGATGGTGGATTGATTACAAAGATAAGCATTGGTGAAGAAGTCTCTCAGTACCTTTCTGAGAGAGGTTTTCAAAACATTTTTGGTACAGTGGTGGAGGCACAAGTAAGTTTCTACATCTACAAACAATCATCATGTTAAAAAAGTTATCCCAGCTGATATCTCTGTCTGTTTAGATCTGAGAAGTAGAAACAGCCTTTTGAAAAGCAAGAGATATCCAAACAGGAACTGGTCAAGGATCAAGACAGCAAGACATGAGTGATGCTTTGGTTGAGAAGACAGAAAATGGTTACGCAACTGATAGTGAAGCATGGCAAGAACTCTTATCAAGTGTCAAGGCAGAATTTGATTGTAAGTCTATCACATTCAATAAGTATCTGATTATGTAAAGACTGACCTGTGGTGATCAGCATGTCTGGAGAAGGCTTGTCCAAATTTTCACCAGTTGCTCCCAGCCTTTCAAAGACGCCCTGCAACCCTCCCAGAGAAGTGCAAGAGTCAACTGATGTCTTCAACAATGATTCAATCTTACCAAATTCAAATTATGTTTCTACTGATTGTCCTTCGATGGTTCCTGAAGATGGTTTCAAAAACTCAAGTCTTGAACTTTGTGTGTACAAT